AGATCTTTACACCACCACCAGTGACCTTGGAGATTGTCCTGAATGTACTGAGTACACAGAAGGTTTCACGAGCACTGAAACAAATGGCGCTGTTATCACTGGAGATGTTGAAGTATTTGTGACGACTGACTCTGAAGGTAACCTCGTTACCCAGACTTCCGTAGTCGCTGAAGGCACTGTTACAACTGTATGTATCAAGGGTGCTTGTGTGACGATCACTGATTCAGAAGCAACTACCGTGACTGAAGCTTGTACTGTGTGTTCTAAATATGAGACCACCGTTGTGACTGAACTTGACAGTGTAACTGTGTCAATTCCATGTGACATAGAAGTTACCACAAACACCGCTGGAGAAACCGTAACCTATACTCACACCTCTGGAGAGTGTGAAGTTTGCAAGGGGTATCTGACCACCATCGTGACCGAAATTGACAGTGTCACCGTAACTGTTCCATGTGAAGTCAGCGTCACTACCAACTCATTTGGTGAAGCTACAACTGTTACGTATACAAAAGACGTGTGCGAAGTTTGTTCTTCTTACACTTCGCAAACAGAGAAGGTAGAAAACGGAACCACCGCGACTTTCAATGTCGCAGTTGTTATTACCACGGACAGCGCTGGAAATGACTATACCACTGTTGGTGCTGTCAGCACCACCGCAGCCTCTACAAGTGGAAGTATTGCCTCAGAAAGCGCAGTCACCATTGCTGAAGGCTCCGGCTTATCAATGAAGGCACCATCAAGTATCATGACATTATTAGCGATTGTTCCATTTCTTCTTGTCTAATCCAATTCATGATTAATACCCTTTTTTCTAACATTTTACTACACATTGAACAATTCTTCCACAACCAATTATTTTCTGAAGCATTCATACGACATAAATTCATTTTTAATTCAACTTAATACATACTTTTATATTTAACTCCTACTTTTGGCCATTTTCAGACCTTGCTGCAAAATAATTTAGCCGGAGGCACAACAAGGGTTTTGCAATAATTTCTGTTCCCCAGCAATTGCGCTCAAATAACGCCTCGCATAGAACCCATGGACGCCTCGTATACAAAAGGCGTGTAATTAAACTTCGAGCCCTTTCGGAATTGTCAGTAGGATATCTAAACTTTGAATTAAAGTTATGAGACGTTTACGAATTTACTAAATGTGAATACAGGAAGTGCACGTGATTGTGTTAAGCGCACTACACCCCTCCATACCACAAATAAATCAGATACAAAGGATGAACAATGGATAAATAGGTTGACAGGGTAATTGAAGTATCATCAACGCATCGTAGAAGGGCCACTGTCAACACTGCAGGCCTCTATTTTAATTTATAATAAGTATTCGCATATTTCACAGCCACAAAAGAGAGCAACATAAACAGGCTGTAAAATAATATATTCAAGGCCGTGGCTTCAGTTCAGCGGTTATTTCCTCAGATATCTGGCTGTTGACTTGATCAATTTGGTTTCTTGATTCCCAATGTAGCATGGTGAGACTGTACGAGCAATATCCTAAAGTCAAATTTACGGCCGATATGAATGAGCTACAAACTCGTAACCAGCGCACCCCTAAAAGCATAGGGGATATGCTGATTTCCTACTGTAGAAAAAGATTGACCGTTAGCCAAGTAGACCAATTTCCGCTAATAGAAGGAGCCATAAATGCCCAGGAGATTTTTAATATGAACAATACAAACGTTCATACTGGATTATAGTACGATCAGAAAATACATTGAACAATTATATATTGATTGCTTACTGTCATCACAGAGGCAGAAACCATTGTTAAATCAACTTAGTTACGTAACTGCAGTATCAGTGGCACAATAAGTGGTTGTGGAGGCTTAGGGCCAAGCGTGAAGCTGGAGACACCCTGGTTTCAAAAACACTGGAGAAAGTCGAGGTCAGTTGACTTAAACTAAAAAAATTCCGGAAATTACCCAAAGCGGGCATTTGAAGCCAGAAATCAGAAGACAACAATTGGAGGTCTAAAAACCCTGGTTGATTTTTCAGCGCATGCTATAATTTATTTTTTAGCGAGAAGTTTAATTCTGGATTCAAGGCAGCGAAGAACCTTAAGCGTAAACGGCGAATTTTCGTACAATAAGTTCAAAACCATGTGACAAAGGTTTAGCAGGATCGCAGATATGGTCACAGTACTTAGTGAATGACAGCAAAACTAAAAAGAGCTTGTTGCAAAGAAGAAAGCTAGCAGGACTTACAAACAATAGCAAGTCGTAAACTAATTTTGTTTACATGGAGGGGGAGCTGCAATGGGATGTCCGCCTAGCCGATGCAAGTAATAACAGTTGACGTGCATGCAGAGTGTGCAGTTGAAAATAATAAGTCGGAGACAAGAGTATAATTCGAGACACGCTCGAAACGGAAGATACCTTCATAAAGCTTATATTTAATTTTCAGAATGTGTGGTTCGAGATATACCACAGGTAAGCAAGGGTTCAGGATCTTCTTTGAATCCGTATAAATTTGATCTCTTTTCCTTAACTAATGGTTTTTGGGTCTATAGTTTTCATAAATGTCTTGGTTAAAATACGCGGCCATAGCTTTGTGTGCTGTGAGCACAAGAGCAGCTGAAATCAGTTTGGATAGAATCGACAGAGACACTGTATCCTTAGCCATTGGTGATTATAAAATCGATGAAGGCGTATACTGGTCTATTATTGACAACACCTTAACCTCTTTTACAGGTGGGTTTGAAAATGACGGGTCCTTTTACATCACCACTGACAATCGCTTAATTGGTTTGACGGTAAGCATCATCAACTTATTGAAAACCATTTCCAACTCCGGTGATTGGGCATTCAATGCATCTAGGACCTTGACTCCACCAAGTTACACATTGTCTAGTTTGAACTTCCAAAACACTGGCTCAATGTGGTTTGGAGGTGATGGTTCTCTTGGTGTTCCTTTGATGACAGTTCAATCACATACTTGGGAAAATGATGGACTTATTGTATTCTCCTTGAACAAAAGATCTACTTCTGGAGAAGTTATCTTGGGTGCCAGTTTGGAACTTGGAACTGGAACGATTACAAACGACGGTACTGTCTGTTTGATCAACCAGGTCTACCACCAGACAACTGCCATCGATGGTTCCGGATGTTTTGATATTGGTTCCGACTCCAATGTGTGGTTAGCAGGATCACTTTTGAGTTTGACAAATGGTGTAGACAGCGACCAGGTTTTCTATTTGAGTACCCCTTCATCCACTCTCCGTGCTGAAGCTCTTTCTTCTTCACAGACCTTTACCGTTAAAGGATTTGGAGGAGGAAACGTCATCGGGCTTTCCTCGACTATCATTTCTCACAGTTACGACGGAAACACCTTGACCTTGAACGCTGGTATTTTCCCAATTAACCTCATCACAAAGTTTGAAATTGGTCCTGGATATACTGAAGGGTTTACTCTTGTGAGTACTCTTTTCGGTGATATTGGGTTGACAATTCCCCTTCTCAATGGAATTAAATACAACGGTGCTGTTCCAGATACTTCAAGACCTTCGAACTGTAAGGTTTGCTCACCTTTCCCAACCCCCCAGGAGTCGACACCTCGAGTTCTTCTTCAGAATCTTCGTCTGCTGCGTCCTCATCGAGCGAAGCTCCATCTTCCTCGAGTGAGGCTTCAAGTTCTTCTAGCGAAGCATCTTCTTCTAGCGAGACCTCAAGTTCTTCAAGTGAAGCTTCTTCATCTAGT